ACCTCAAATCGGGGGCCCAAACTGCAAGCTTGGCGAAGGATTCCCCTAACCCGTAAACCCTAAGCCTTAAACCCTAAGCAATAGACCCTAAACCCTAAACCCTAAACCCTAAACCCTAAACCCTAAACCCCTAAGCTCCGACCCAAGAGAAAACTAGGAATAAACGGGGTGCCCTTTTGGGTCTGAAGGGGCTTAGAAGGGCACCAAAGCCCCAACAAAAAGGGCAATAGGGCGAACTCAGGGTCCTAGAAGCCCCCTATACCCCAAACCCTCAACCCGAAGCCCCAATCCCTAAGGGTTTAGGGTTTAGGGTTTAGGGTTTAGGGTTTAGGGTTTAGGGTTTAGGGTTTAGGGTTTAGGGGTTTAGGTTTCAGGGTCGCTCTAGCTTTGGCTTGCTTTTGCTTGCGTCTCGTCTCTTCACGACTCGGATGTCTTCCAATCTTCCCTGTGGCTCTGTTGAAAAAACTACGCCCGAGTGAGGTCCAGCCACGAGCTTCACACCCTAAACCCTAAGCTGTTTCGGGTTTAGGGTTTAGGGATTAGGCCCTAAACCCTACAACCTAAATCAACCCGTGACCTCCCTACAAGGCCCAAGCTGTAAAACCGCAAAGCCCCAAAAGTCTAAAAACCCAAAGTTTTAACCCCAAGAATCTAAAGCCTAAGGCCCTAAAAACCCTAGAGCCCGAAAACCCGGAAACCTCAAAGCCCTTAACATAAACCGGAAAGCTGACACACCTCTAAACCCTAAAGCCCTAAAAACACAAAAGCCCTTACAACCCCAAAACAAGCCACCGGTCCGTAGCAAGTTGTGGCCCTTCATCTGGGTTTGTCTGGCGTAACTATCAGGGCTTGGGGGCTTAGGGCTTAGGGTTTAGAGTTTATGAGGGGGTTTCGGGTTTAGGATTTAGGGTTTAGAGAGGGTTTCCGGGCCAAGGGCTTGAGAATTACCGGGCCTCCGGGTAATAACTCTACATATCGTGGGGGCTGTGATTCGGGGCCGTCTTGCAACAGGGTTTAGGATTTAGGGTTTAGGCTTAGGGTTAAGCTCCGGAGCGTATCACATTTCCTTCTCGGTTTGCACATTTTCTTCTTAGTAGCCCAGGAACCGTACTACGATGGGGGCACTTTGTTCTATTTTCTTGTTCTTTTTGTTTTTTTTTTTTTTTTGGGGGGGGGGGGGTTTGGTTACGGTAGAAGAGAACCCTTGAACCAGAAAGGGCAAAAGGGCACCGCTGGGCTACCAAGTCATTCTTCTCCAGACAAACAAAAAACAGGTTAAGCAATACTGCTCCTGCAGGAAAATGGGTTGAGGGTTTAGGGTTGAAGGTTGAAACTTCAAAGAATGCCTGAACCCTAAATCCGATTGGCTGCACAAGCTTCTGAGAAGATCAAGCTCCCCTTGCTGCGACGGCGCTTTGGCAAATCAAAGCTTTACGGACCCTAAACCCTGAACCCTAAGCCTCAAACCCTAGTCCCTAACCCTAAACCCTAAACCCGAATTAAACCTCTTGAGGCATCCATCCTCAAGCAGTACACCATGGAAATCCCTAAACCCTAGACCCTAGACCCTAAACCCTAAACCCCAAACCCCAAACCCTAAACCCTAAACCCTAAACACCCAAACCCCAAACCCTGGACCCCCCTTGGGCTCTGTGCGACTGAAGCTGCTTCCCGGTGCAGCTTCCGCGACCTACCTCTGGCTCTCCAAGCATCCCGAGGGGCTTGCTTTGCGCCAGTGGCTGGCCCTAAACCCTAAACCCTAAACCCTAAACCCTAAACCCTAAACCCTCATCCCTAAACCCTAAACCCTAAACCCTAAACTGTAGGACTGGAACACTTGTCCCGGTGCGTTCCTTGATGTCCACGGGGTCTGTCAGGGGACCTGGCCCCGGAAGAACGGGGTGGGCAGGTTTAGGGTTTAGGGTTTAGGGTTTAGGGTTTAGGGTTTAGGGTTTAGGGCTTAGGATTTTTTACGGTTCGGGGCAACCTTGAGGCGGCCCTGGCGCAAAGTGAAGGTTGGTG